ATGAAAGAACAAAATATACCAAATATACAATATTTTTTTTTTATTTTACAGGCATAATGTGCCACAAACTACAATATGCAAGATGTATGTACAAAAGTTAGATAAACTATTAACCACCTAACTGATTATATAATTATGATTACATATAAAACTAGAATACATAAGTATCCTGCTACAAGAAACTGTAAATTTACTGTTTTTAATCCCTTTATCTTTTTTTTACCCAAAATTAAATTACCCTCCTACTAAACAACTACACACACATTAATACAATAAATTGAAAATAATTTCAATGGCGTAAGAAATAATTTTCTTTAAATTATTGGTCATCCCAGTTTTACATTAGTGTTGTTCTAGTTGGAAGATCAAATTAAGACAACTAACAAAAGAAATAAATTAGCACAACAACCATACACAGGAACATCTAACAGTTAACTTACATCTAAGTGCGACGTCACGCTTTCCGTGTGTTCTCTGCCGTTATCATTTTATATTCTAGTATAGACCCCCTCACGTTACAAAGAGAACCATTCTCTTGGAAAAGCTCTTAACCACATAAATGATAAAATTGTGCAATATTTACACAACATATTAATTGGGCAGATCTTCGCACGGATTCGCGTCACGTCCTGGAATGTACACCGTATCACAAGCAAGGAGCTATGCTCCATTAGAATAATTTACTGTATATATAAATATAAATGGAACAATTTCCCCGGGGCATTTAATAGAGAGGCCGTAGCATTGATACATGCGTGAAAAGTCCACTTCTAGCGAAACTTCGACATATAAGGCGTGGGGCGAGCCGCTCACCGGCGCCGGCGCCTGGCTCGGCGGCGGCGCGCCGCGGGCTAGTGCTGCGGCTGCGGCGGCTGCTCCAGCAGCAGCGACAGGTGGTCGGCGATGGCGCGCGCTGCCTCGCCCGCCAGGATGGAGCGGTGGTTGCCGGCCAGCTGGCGCGTGTGCAGCGGCCCGGCGCACACCTCGGCCAGGCCGTAGTCCTCGCCCAGCGTGACGTAGTTGTCGCGCGCCGTGAACAGCGTGACGGGCGCAGCGAGCCGGCCGGCCGGCTTGTACGTGTCGCCGGCCACCAGCTTGCGGTAGAAGGAGGCGGCGGCGTCGGCCAGCGCGGCGGGCGGGTACGGCGCCTCCTGCAGCAGCGCCACGCAGCGCTGCACCCGCTCTTCCCAGCTGCCCAGCGCCTCCAGCTCCTCGTACAACTGTCGAGGGATGCGAATAGTTTTCCCTTTCTTAAGTACATGTTATTCATTATAAAAAAAAATATCTATAATTTCAGATTTACACGTATTAGGGTATTTGATTATTTAAGTGTAAATAATTCCAAGCAAGTGTCCATAAATACTTTACTTTATAAACAGTAAAATTTAGTGAAATTCGCATCTAAATCACCTTGGCCTGGTCGAGGTCCTTGAAGAGCTGCGCGAAGTAGGCGAGCGCGTCGGCCTCGTCGGTGGCGGGCGAGCGCGCGAGGCGCTTGGCCTTGCCGCGCGCCGTGTGCGTGGCCACGTAGGCGGGCGAGCCGTCCACCAGCACCAGCCGCGTGGCGCAGCCGGCGCGCTCCAGCTGCAGCGCCATCTCGAAGGCCACGCTGGCGCCGAACGAGTAGCCCAGCAGCGTGTAGGGCGGCGAGGGCTGCGCCGCGCGCACGTGGCCCACGTAGAAGGCGGCCAGCGCCGCCATGTCGGCCAGCGGCGCCGCGCGCGTGCACTGCAGCCCGAAGACGGGCGCGCGCACGCCACTCGCCACGCCGCGCAGCCGCTCCACCACGCCCTCGATCGGGTGCACCTGCGCAGAGCGCCCCCGTCAAGTTGCGTTTCAACCGATTTAACAGTATCTCTATCGACCACCTCGACTCACCATGAAGACGGGCTTCGCCTTGGAGTCGTCGGGCGCCGCGCTGGGCAACCTGACGAGCACTTGCTTGGGCACCAGCTCGCCCAGCGCCGCGAACTGCACCAGGTCGTCGTCGCGCTGCGCCTCGTCCGGCTCCGCGTCCGCCTCCGCCTCCGCCTCGCCGCCCGCCAGCGAGCGCAGCTTCGCGAACGTCAGCGCGCGGATCTCCTGCACGCCCAGCACCACGTCGTAGCCGCGTTCCAGCGTCTGTTTGATCTCGGCGCCCATCAGAGAGTCCATGCCGAGCTCCGCCAGGTTGGCCGACTGCGACACCTTGCTGGGATCCTTGATGCCTGTCAGCGGGGAGCGGATAGTGAAACGATCTCGTTGCGCACATCGAGACGGCGTCGAGGCGAGAGGAGGGCTCGCGACTCTCACCGAGGATGTTGGCGACGGCTTGTAGGAGGTCGTGTTTGGGCGCGGCGGCGGCGCGCCTCTTGTCGGCCAGCACCATGGAGGCGGTGACGGCGTGCGGGCGCGCCAGTAACGTGCCCAGCGCCGCCATGCACGAGGCGATGCGCTGCGGCACGGTGCCGCCCACCACGCTGTCGTCGCCGCCCATCGTGTCCACGATGAGGCCCACCTCGCCGATGGCGCCCCACTGCACGGCCAGCCCGGGTAGCCCGTCGGCCTGTCGCCGCTCCACAATGCGCTCCATGGCCGAGTTGGCCAGGCCATAGTTGCTCTGGCCCGGGTTGCCGCGCCCGCACGACACCGACGAGAACACCACGAAGTACTCCAGCTCGGGGCACAGCTCGCGCGTCGCCAGGTCCAGTGCCTTGGTGCCTAAACAATGGGAACGTTCCATAGTCATCCATCCAGGAATGGAGTTTTGTTTTGAGACAGAACGAAGAAGACATATGGAAACGGGATGGCGAGTGGCTAAGGAGAGTCGATCGTACCGTCGATCTTGGGGCGCGCCACGGCGCGGAAGTCGTCGGGCGTCTGGTTCTCGAGGAAGGCGTCGCGCAGCACGGCGGCCAGCTGGAAGAGGCCGCCCACGGGCGCGTCGGCGCCGGCCTCTTGCAGCAGCGCCCGCGCGCCCGCCGCGCCCGTGGCGTCGGCCGTGCTCACGCGCACCGCCACGCCGCGCGCGCGCCAGCGCCGCACGCACCACGCCTGGTAGCCCGTGCGCACGCCGCTGCGCGAGTTCAGCACCAGCCGCGTGGCGCCGCGCACCACCAGCCACTCGGCCAGCTCCAGCCCGAAGCCGCCCAGGCCGCCCACCAGCACGTAGCTCTTGTCGGGGTGGAAGTAGGTGCGCGGCACGGCGGCCACCAGCTTGGGCGCCGGCGCGTGGCTGGCCTCCTCGCGCACGCGAAGCACCACCTTGCCGATGTGCTTCCCGGTCGCCATATACCTACGATGCGACAAAATCTCAGTGTTCAATTAAATATTTGTATTCGCTACATACACACTTTCGAGAACCAAACATGCCAAAAGCTTCTAGTAACGGATGATTTAATTTGCCTAATTTAACTTAATCTGGCCCAAATTCAGCCTCCTATGTGCCTTGTGGCACCTACTATCCGGCATCGTCGACAATCTTTCTTTTAACAACCTTCACCAAATCAATCCAATATACAAGGGTGTACACTTGACTTAATTATAACCAACAGTTGTGACATGTTTTCTGTAAAAGTCAATACTAAAGACCAAAATAATAATTGATTCCTACTCTTATTTTAAGTCGAATGCGAAATTACACCTTAAAAAGAATCCCAAATATTTCTGGACATTCTTCTACACCCGTGGTTTGCAGATGCGTCGACAACCTTTAGAAAATTGGCTCCGGCTACCTCACTCACGCAGACGAAACGCGAAAAGCATTATAGTTCCACTTTAAGCCGGTCACAGAAGGTCGTGGTACTTACCCGGACGAGCCTGCCCATTCGTGCAACAGCCGAGGCTGCTGCGTGGCCCTATCACCGTTACTTTGTTGCGATTGAAGTTATTTTGTCGTAATAATGGCTATGGAAGTGGAAAAAGCGTTGATTAAAGACCAGAAAATCGACTTTATTACAAACAATACCCCTGAACTTCTTACTAAACTAAATATTAATTTACCATGAGCTGGTGGGTCATATACAGAGAAGGCAGGCCCCTATGTCGTTGTCGCTATGGTCAGCATTCGTCGATTTACCGTATTTGTTCAAGTTATAATGTCCAGCAATAAGGTCCAGAGGTTGACATATTTAACGTGGAACGTGCAATATTAAAAAGTTTATTCTAAACGCTCATCACCTGAAGGCCTGTTCCAGCTGCTGGTCGGAGAAGACAGTGCTGGGCAACGGACGCACGGCACCGCTGGCGATGCCCTCGGACACGCAGCGCACCACTTCCGCCTTCTCGGGGCAGCCGTCACCGGCCTCGAACAGCGCGTCCAGCAAGATGCCGTGGAAGGTGGTGTTCTTCAGGAATATCGCCATGCCCTGCCGCCGGGAGAAGGCTCGTTGAGCGAGTGGCCACAGCGCGAGTCGTGGTCGCGGTCGTCGCCGCGCGGAGCGACGCTCACCAAGGGGGTGTTGTTGGAGAGGTCCAGCTTGCCGATCTCGAGGAAGCGGCCGCCGTTGGCCAGGCAGCGCACGGAGGCCAGCAGCTTGTCGGCCGCCAGCGAGTTGAGCACCAGGTCGACGCCGCGGCCGCGCGTGCGGCGCAGCACCAGCTGCTCGAAGGAGGTGTCGCGCGAGTTGCCGATGTGGGCGTCGGGCAGCGCGGGGAAGCGGTCGCGCAGGAAGGCGCGCTTGTCGGCCGTGCCCACGGTGGCGAACACGGTGCAGCCGGCGTGCAGCGCGATGGCGATGGCGGCCTGCCCCACGCCGCCCGTGCCCGCGTGCACCAGCACGCTGTCGCCTTTGCGCATGCGGCCGCGCACGGCCAGCGCGTAGTAGGCCGTGGCGTAGGCCACGGGCACGGTGGCCGCCTCCTCCAGCGACCAGCGCGCCGGCACCTCCCAGAGGAAGCCCTCGTCGGCCAGCACCGTGGTGGCCAGCCCGCGCGCCGCCACCATGCCCATCACGCGCTTGCCGTCGCCCGTGCGCCCGCTGAACTCCAGCCCGAGGATGCACTCCTGTCGGCGGTCGCGGGATTGCTTGTTTGCATACAAACGTACAGACCGTACCTCGATATATAGCACGACTTGTTTATTTATTTTTTGAGGTTTACCAGCAGTTGTCACACTCATACAATTTATATTAACAGTACAGTAATTATAACTAAGTGTACAACTATTTTAAGGATTAAAATGTAAATGTAATGTGTGTTTTAAACACAACATAATGTACAAAAAAAAAGTTAAAATAATTAAAAGCCAGCTTTATTACATTAAAAAAGGAACAAAAAATTATAAAAAAATTAATCGTTTTCTAATAAGTAGTAATTTACAATAAGTAGTTGCTAATTTTTAACCAAATTTCGAATTAATTTGCAGCGGAACTGTCTTAAAGAATCAAAAAAAATATCCAAAGATCCACTACATTCGTAAAATTTTTTACTTAATCGTGCAATAACAGAATTTGCACCCAGTTTTGTTTGGCGAAACGGAACTTTTAATGGTTTTATTGGTTTTCGCGGTACTCTTCTAGGAACATTATAATGTAATCAAAAGATCAGGACACTCTAAATAATTTACAAGTTTGTATAGAAAAAAAAAATTCGTCTCTAGGCCTTCAAAATCATCAACACTTATATGGGACAAGTGCTGATTAGGTAGTAATTAAGTATGTTTGGAAATATTCAACCTCAGTATTGTCGCCGGAGCATTACTAACCACCGAGTAAGTGAGTGGACCTTCGGCTACCTCACTAAACCAACACAACTTTTAGGTAATGGCTTTGTGCGACGCAGTGATAGTATCAGAATTGTTACATAAAGAGGTGAAAAGTTGTCGAGCTCAGTAACCTGTCCGGCCAGGTCCCCGGGCAGCGCGTCGGGCGGCAGCTTGCCGGTGGCCAGCATGATGTCGCGGAAGTTGAGCGGCGCATAGTGCACGGCGCAGAGCGCGCGGCCGGGCTGCGGCCGGTCGGCGGCGAAGCGCAGCGGGCTCTCCACCCAGCGCAGCGAAGCCAAGTCGCCGCGCGTCAACGTGTTCACGTACGCGTGCTCCACCTGGAGCTGCAGCTCGCCGGAGTCGGGCAGCTGCAGATGCCTGTAGGAGCCCCAGACGCCGGCGCGCAGCACGTTGACGGCCAGGTCCTTGTGCACCTGCGCGGCGTAGGCGGGCGCGTCGGGCGCGAAGGGCTCGCGCGCGTCGGGCAGGTAGAAGACGCGCAGCGCGCGCCCGCCCGGCTCGCCGCGCAGGCACGCGCCCAGCCCCAGCACGCCGCTGCTGGCCGAGCGCGACACGGCGAACACGCGCAGCTCCTCGCTCTCGGCGCGCTTGAGCGCGTCGCGCAGCGCCTCCACCCAGCCGTAGGAGGAGTCCTCGCCCACCTCGACGACGAGGCGCGCCGCCGGCAGAGAGGGCGCGGGCCGCAGCAGCAGGTACTCGCAGCCGGCGGCGCGCTGGCGGGCCACCGGCTGCAGCCCCGCGGCGGCCACGGCCTCGCGCGCCGCTCGCCCGGCCAGCACGCCGTGCGGCTCCTCCAGCAGCAGCATGCCGCCCGGCGCCAGCGCGGCGGCCAGCTGGCGCAGCAGGGGCGCGCCGTGCCGCCCCACGGCGTCCGCCGCCAGCACCAGGTGGCACTCGCTGTCGGGCGGCGTGACGCGGGGGTCTTTGTTGTTCACCTGGACAGTGTTTTATCATTGGGAAACGGGACTGACACGTAACAGCTGTATACAAAGTGAACACATAATACTAGATAATCGATCTTGATGTTTCAGCACTAACCTTGACGGCGAGCTTCTCCATGGGCGTCGCGTAGGCGGCGGCGGCGGCGCCCGCTGCCAGGCTGGCCTCTAGGCGCACCTGCGGCTCGGCGTCCAGCAGCTGCAGCGCCAGCGGCAGCAGCAACGCCTCGGCCGGCCGCTCCAGGGCCGCCTCGGTCGCCTTCAGCCGCAGCGCGCCCGCGTTCTCCAACACCAGTTGCAGGCAAACTGTGAGCGCTTCGCGTTTGGAGCGCGCCGTGTCCTCCGACTCCACGCTGGACTTGTCGTAGGGCACGAACACGTACTTCTCGAGCTTGGGCGGCGGCTGCGGGTTGGCCCGGCGCGGCGCCAGGCTGGTCTTGACGCCGCGGAACTCGACGCCGCCCGCCACCACCACGTCGATGTCGCGCAGCATCCGCACCGGCAGCGCGCCGCCGGCCGCCGCCACGGCCGCCCGCTGCGCCGCCGGGTCGATGAGGGCCCGCCGCAGCCGCGTGGGCAGGTATAGCTCGCGCGTGTCCACGCCGATGATGCCGAACTGCAGCATCGTGTCCATGAACGAGATCCAGTTGTCGTCCCAGGCGAGGGTGCCGGCGGTGCCGCGCGCGTCCGAGGTGCGGATGCCGCGGAACAGGCCGCCGTAGTTGTACCCGCGCAGCCGCAGCTCCTTGTACACGTCGTCGGTGAGCAGCGGCAGCGCGCCGGACTCGTCGGCGGCGGGCTCCGCGGCGGGCAGCGGCAGCCTCTCGGCGGTGGGCTCATCGGCCAGGCGCACGTGACCCGTCACCACCACGCCGCCGCCCTCGCACACGTCGAACTCGCCGGTGCCGTCCAGAATGTTCACGAGGAAGCGGACGGGCGCCTCGCGGGATACGATCGTGGCTCTTCGGAATTGAATGTTTTCTATGACGACGGGCGTTTCCTCTAGTTTACGATTGTGTATCTTAGCCATCGTCCTCCAGACTAGCATCTGGAACAAACATCACATTATATATGACTATATGCCAGTGCACCGCAATGACTACGAATGGAGGCCTGAAGGACACCGACCAGGTAGCCGGTGGCGGGGAAGAGCACGCGGCCGTCGATGTTGTGGCCGGCGATGAACTCGTCCTCGGGCCGGGTGAGGTCGTACTCGACGACGTTCTCGCCGGAGCGCGAGGCGGCGCCGAAGTGCGCCACGCTCCACTCGGCAGAGTGGTCCCAGAGCACGTGCGAGGCCAGGCCGGGCGTGCCGCGGCGCACGGGCCAGCCCACGGGCGGGTAGAGCGCGCCCGCGCGGGGCTGCGCGCCGCGGGCGAAGGCGCGCCCCGCCGCCGCCAGCAGGTGCGCGAGCGGCTCGGCGGCGTCGCGGCGCAGCAGCGGCACGTGCGCGGCCTGGGGCAGCGCGCGCCGCAGCACGGCCTGCAGCAGCGCGTGCGGCGCCACCTCCAGCAGCAGCGCGCGCTCCGGCACGCTGCGCAGCGCCTCCGCGAACCGCACCGGCGACAGCAGGTTGTTCACGTGGTACGCCGCGTCGCTCAGCCGCGCTGCGAGCCCGATCGCGTAATCGCATTCAGTAAGGGCGAGACGCGCTTTCGACGCCGTCGCTATGTTCTCAGAGGGAGCTATTACCGATGTCCGAGTCCCATTGCTCCTTCGGCAGGGAGGAGGAGATCCAGCGGGAGGAGCGCGGCTTGGGGTCGGTGATGACGCGCTCGAGGCTGCGGCGCAGCAGCGGCGCGGCCGCCGCGATGTATCTGCTGTGGAAGGCGACGCCGGAGCTGTTGACGCGTCGCGCGAACACGCCCTCCGCACTCAGCTCCGCCACGAACTTCTCGATCGAGTCCACCGGGCCCGACACCTGCGCGACACGGACGTCTTTGCCCATCATTGACACTCGCGCCACGAGACGCCGCAGTGGGAGCGCGCCGGTACCGTGACGCTGTCGGTGGCGTTGTGGCAGGCGGGCGCCAGGTCGGGCGGGCAGCGCGCGGCCGCCTCGTCCCAGCCGAGCCCCACGGCCGCCATGGCGCCGGGCGGCAGCTTCGCATCGACGATGCTGCGCCCGCGCCAGTACGCGGCCAGCACGGCCTGCTCCGCCGTCAGCGTCTCGTCCGCGTAAGCGCATCCTGCAACGCGTTACGCGTTCACTCAGCACCACAGTTAAAAGCGAACAAGAGCAACGCAACGGGAGGCGCGAACCGACCGATCTCTCCGACGGAGTGGCCGACGATGCCGTCGGGGCGCAGGCCCAGCTCGCGCAGGACGTCGACCAGCGCCACCTGCACGGCGGCGATGGACACGAAGGAGGTGACGACGTCATCGAAGGCCGAGTCCGGCGCCTCGGTCAGCACGTGCTGCAGGTCGACGCCGTGCGGGCGCAGGGCGGCGCCGCAGCGCGCCACGCTGCGGGCGAAGGCCGGCAGCCGCAGCAGCGTGCGGCCCATGCCCGCCCACTGCGAGCCCATGCCCGAGAACACGAACCAAATCGGGCGCGGCTCGCCGCTCTCCATCTCCTGCAAGACGCAACATGGCACCCGATGACGTCGCCCCTCGTCCGGCGTCCGCGAGCCGCGCGGGACCGAGGGGCGCTACCGACCACGATCTCCTCGAGCGGCGGCGCCTGCGGCTCGGGCTCGGGCGCGACGAGGCGGAAGCCGCGGAACGAGTGGCCGGGGATGTTGTGCGCGTGCACGGCGTCCAGCAGCGCGTGCAGGTGGTCGTCGCGCGGGTGGTCGGCGGCCAGCTGCAGCAGGCGGCGCGCCGCCTCCTCGGTGCGCCCCGAGGCCAGCACGAGGCGGGGCACCGAGGGGGTGGCGGCGGGGGCGGGGGGGGGGGGGGGGGCCGCGCCCGCCCTCGCGCGACTCCAGGATCACGTGCGCGTTGGCGCCGCCGAAGCCGAACGAGTTCACCGCGACCAGCCCGCCCTCCCATGGCGTGTTCTTGTCCACCACCTGTAGAATAGTGTACAAGTACTCTCTGATCAGCAGCACTCGCTAGACGTCTCCGACCATCGGTAGCTTTTTGCACCGATACGAAATCCTTACCTTAATTCTTCCATCGCTAAGAGCCGGTATATCAGGATTTGGCGTTTTGTAGTGCAGATTTGCCGGAATGACGCCGCGCTCCATCGCCACCACGACCTTCGCGATGGAACAGAGCCCCGACGCCGGCTCCGAATGTCCCATGTTGGATTTGACCGAGCCGAGCAAGAGGGGTGTTTTGCGGTCTTTGCAGAAGAAGTCCGCGATCGCGTTCACCTCCTGCGGGTCGCCCACCTGCAAACGAATAGGCACAAAGTAAGGGACGCACTTGGGGAGCGATGCGATGCGTAGAGCGGGAGGAAGGCGGCGCGCACCTTGGTGCCGGTCCCGTGCGCCTCCACGTAGACGACCTGGTGCGGGCGCAGGCGCGCCTCGGCGAAGGTCTCCTCGGCCAGGCGGCGCTGCACGTCGCCCGAGGGGAAGGTGATGCCTTGCACCTTGCTGCCGTCCGTGTTCATGCGCGCGCCGCGCACCGTGGCGTAGAGCCGCCTGGCGGCGCCGCGCCGCTGCAGCAGCACCACCACGGCCGCCTCCGAGCGCACGTAGCCGCGCCCGTCGGCGTCGAACGCGGCGCAGCGGCCCTCCGGCGAGAGCATGCTCAGCCGGTGGAAGTTGAGCGAGTTGGCCGGCTTGAGGCAGAGGTTGGTGCCGGCCACCACCGCGGCGTCGCACTGGCCCGCGCGCATCGCCGCCACCGCCTGCGCGAGCGCGAACATGGAGCTCGAGCAGGCCGTGTCCACGGCGTACGAGGGGCCCTTGAGGTCGAACGTGTAGGAGATGCGGTTGGGGAACATGGCGCGGCAGCAGCCGGTGAGCGCGTAGCCGTTGATCTTGTCGGGGTCCGCGGTCCACATCTCCTCGGTCTCGGAGTTGGAGACGCCCACGTAGACGCCGGTGCGCGAGCCGCGCAGCTCGGCCGGGCTGAGGCCGGCGTCCACGATGGCCTCGTGCGTCAGCTCCAGCAGCAGCCGCAGCTGCGGGTCCATCAGGTGCGCCTGCTTCGCGTGCACCCCGAAGAACGTCGCGTCGAAGCGCGACAGCTCCTTCAGCTTCCCGTTGCGCTCGGGCAACCCGTGAAGGCCTGAAAGGAAACTCTTGCCTCACTGCCATGCATTACATACTTGTTATGGCGCACCTGCTTCATATTCAAACGTAACTGCTCAATAGTCGAATCGCCCCTCGCAGTCGAGCGGCCTTATCCGCCGCGCACGCCAATATAAAGTTTGTAAATAATGACTACTTTAATACGATTCTTCTAATTATGTTGTAAATGCTTAGTAACACTTTTAACGCTATCGATGGTACATGTAAGCCCTATTGCTGGGGAAACTACTACTCCTACATCACCATAGGTCAGAACGACTTATGGAAAAGTATTGGTTGATTGAGAGAGTGAGACATTTTGATCAATTCACAAGTTTGTAATAGACGCTCTGAAAACACTACAGTCCGTACGGAAATGGGTTTTATGCAACGGGGATCGTGAAGCGCACACTATTTATGCGCCGCTTTATGACCATCGTGAAGCGACAATAAATTGCCATAATGATATAACATATCTTAACCAACATAAACAAATAATTTAAAAGAATGTTACGTATTTCTTTGATTCCCATTAGGGCCATTTATATAAGGGATTATTCATGGCTTTACTCCACATGATAAAGTATTTAATATCATGAGTTTTTTTCATTATAATTAAAACCAGATACGTTCATTATCACTTAGCATCTTCAAACGTTTCTACATCGCTAAAACGACTATAAACAGAGAAAAGTCATTTGGAATCTTAACTAGTTACGGTTGCAACAGTGTAAGGAGGAAATATAATCGATGGCGGATCTTTCATAGAACAAGACAACTCATTCTGCTGTAAGAGTGGGTCGATTGTTTGCCCATCACTTTGCCTGTTTGCGGCGACTCGGCAGGATACGAGCGCGGTTTTGACCGACACTTGCGGTGGATTTCACAATAGCCACGTATCCTTCATTTGTATTTGTTTTTGTCTCAATATTATCCTGTGTTGTTTCATACAATTATATAACATAAGGAAACCTGTACTGCAAATGCTAGGGAAATATTATCAATCAAACAATGACTCATTACAATCGTTACAGTAATACACATCGAGAGCTGATGAATCCACAACATAATTCCCGAAGCCCCCTTTAACATCATTAGCTGGCTACTCTGATGATTCAACCAAACGTACGAACAACACATATTTATATGCAGTGGCATCATTCTAGTTATGCACAATAGAAAAATTTTTGCGTCATTTTATAACAATGCCTAAAACGAATCTAGCTTTAAAACGTGTGGTGCACCAACTGGTGCTTTGTCATTTAAATGGTGGTATCTTAAAAAATTATATATACAGCGTTTTTTAGCATTTGAAGCAATGCTTGGCGCATCCATTGTTATATCCTTTCCAGCATACAAACAATTTCGAATATAGTTTTACAACGATAATTCGAACGAGAGATGTCGCCATTGCTTTTTAGAAATTTTAATTTATATATAATTTAGATTTTCGTCGGTGTGGCCATCAGCCGTTTAGCTTAGTGGTTAAAGCGTCAGGCCGCGAATGCCGAAGAGGTGGGTTCGATTCCCACAGCGGCGACAATCTTTTCGTACTTTCTTCTACCTATTTTAATGTACAATCTTAAGTGCAGAGATTAGCACTATAATAAATTTAAATTTCTAAAAAAACAATGGCGTCATCCCTCGTTCGAATTATCGTTGTAAAACGATATTCGAAATTGTGTGCTACACCCGAGGGTTACAGGTGCATTGTCAACCTTTTGAAAATTGGGCTACCTCAATCACCAGATGAAACGCGAAAATATTTGTCATACTTCCACTTTACGCTGGTCTTCTGTGAGGTCGTGGTACTTACCCGGACGGGCCTGCCCATTCGTGCAACATCCGAGGCTGATGCGTGGCCCTACCATCGTAAATTTCAAAAAACTTCTTTTATATTTTAAAAAAATTATATAATTTAACCTGAAGTGCATAGAATAGTACTATAAAAATTAACGTTCTTTAACAATTCTTACATATAGTTTCATCGACTTTTCGTTTTAGTGATATACACACATAACGTATATTTAAGGGTGGTAGAGCCACGCAGCAGCCTCGGCTGTTGCACGAATGGGCAGGCTCGTCCGGGTAAGTACCACGACCTCACAGAAGACCGGCGTAAAGTGGAAGTATGACAAATACTTTCGCGTTTCGTCTGGTGAGTGAGGTAGCCGGAGCCCAATTTCCAAAAGGTTGTCAACGCATCTGCAAACCCTCGGGTGTAGCAGATGTCTATGGGCGGCGGTATTCACTTAACATCAGGTGGACCGTCTGCTCGTTTGGCAACTTTTCACAAAAAAAAAAAAAAAAAAAAAAATACATACAATTACTCTACGTTAAAACAATCTATTAATCGTACTCACTACCGTTTAAATTTCACGCTTCATTTTGCTCGAGCAAAAGCCAAACAAACAGTAGGCACCTACAGCAGTCAATTAGAATAAGTTTGAAAATATTATCAATCCACCATGCGCCCACGTTTTCTATTTAATTATGACGTAACGATCATTTTGAATATTTATAGAACTTATTGTGAAAAATCAACCCATCAACAAGCATCAACGTTGCTGCGGAGGATATGCAAATTTTTGTTGTTAAAAGAAATTAACATAATAATTATATCGTACCTTAATTTGTTATACAGTACTTGGTACTTGTACAAATGCATTTAGAACTCGTAATTATGTTTTACGAACTTACGTGTTTTATAAATAAAAAAGTTGTTTATAAATTTATATAAAGTAAAAAAGGACACCTATATGTATATGTCAAAGTGCTGGGCAAAGGCGCCTTACACCACGCGATTCCACTGCGGATTGGCGAACTTCATATATTTCTCACGTTTTCTTTAATAATAATTTTAATCTGATTATGAATTTATGTAATTACGCATAAACTATGAATGCTGCGGGTAAAATTCGTCGAAGCAGTCTCAAAATGAAGATGTAAATAAATTTAGATATTTGTGGCGGCATGGCGATGGTACGCACCTGGGGTCCACCGGCGGTCATCCGCCGTGACCAGGTCGACGCCGTCGAACAGCTGCTGCGCGAAGTCCTCCACGCTGCCGGACTCGGGCAGCCGCCCCGAGAGGCCCGACAGCACCACGTCCTCGGCCGCCGCCCCACCACCGTTCACCATCGCGCCGGGCATCCTGCACCCACCCTCTCGCCGTCTATCTGCAACCGAACGAGCCACTTCCTTCGGTGTCGGCGAGGTATGGTTAGCGAGCGAGCGAGCGAGCGACCGTTCGAACACTTCGCGGATCGCGTATCGTGAAGTGGGCACGCGGGTGTGAGCGGGTGTGGGCGGCCGCGAGGAAGTGCAAGCGGAGAGTGAGACTGCGGCGCCGCGGCGGCCGATTAAAAGGCGCGATAGCGGGGTCCCGACCCCGCGTCAAGTTTCCACGAGACCCCGGGCTCCGCTTATCGCGGCGCAAGGACGAGCAAGGTCGAGCGCCGAGCGCGCGCGCCCTCTCGCCGCCAGAAGCGGCGGCCGCGGCGGCGGCGGCTTCTACGTAGCAGCATCTGGCCGCCGCCGCCGACCGCTTCGACCTCCACGCGCTATCGACGCAAAGCGAACTCCTGACCCGCTCATGTTAATTGCGCGTGCCGTAAAAGGCGAGAGTGTAAATCACGGGCGGGGCGGGTGGCCGGCCGCCGCGCGACGGAAGAGCGGCCCTCGCCGCTAACAATGTGCCTTTGTGTCTCGATTGTGTGCCCCTCTCGCTTCATTCTATTAGACGACCAATAACCCAATCTGGCCCACCGTAGTCAATAACCTCAGACTACAGCTATTTGGCCGCACTTCTTTTTTACTTATGTTCAATATACCGGTGGACTCATGGTGACTTACTGAATATACTTATGAAAATAATTATAATCAAGGAATATTAATGGTATGAACAACATATTTATCAAAAAAAAGTCCAAAAAATTAGAATTTAAAAATTTTTAAAATCTGAAGGTAGTCAAATTAAGCAGGGCCTGCAGTTTAATAGATTCTCCAGCTTTAGTTATGGCGATGATGATTGTAGGGTAACAATTTAATTTCGCTTGCTTTATTTTGTAGTAGAAGGTAATCAAGGTTCTGCAATTGAACAAGGAGCAGCATCTATGTAGATGCTGCTCCTTGTTCAATTGCAGAATCTCGTACATTAATATATTGCCACTTGGTTAAGTTTTTCAGGTGAGAGAGCTTTTTCAGGTGTATATGGACTCTTATTCTTTTTTTCTGATTTATGCAAGTCGTCACCTTATCTATATTGATTAGCATTCAGGATTGATTAGCAAATATTTCATTATTTTTCTTACTTCTTAGTAATCCCCAATACTTTTGAAATGTAGCACTCTATAACTCTGCTGGAGTCACTGATTTGGCCAAGTGCTCTACGCGTCTTCTTTTTTGCTTGTTTGGAGGCTCTTCAAATGATTTTCTCGTCGTTTATTGCGACGATGACGTTGAAGCTATTGGTGTAGATGGTACCAAAATTTCTACATCTTTACTGAACATCGGGTTGGACATTTTCTGTTTGGGAGATAAAGTGAGCTCCTCAAAAAAGTACTGAGGTCCCTATTTGATTTTCTTCCATCTACCACAAACATTTGAACAAAACTTCAGGACAAACCTTCAGTTTTACTCGTTTCTTCAGTCCAAATGACATTCAGCGTCTCTTTGAGGTATTCAAAAAGATTTATACTGTCCACCAAAGATCCAAACTCTTCTTGTAATACTAAAAACTAGTGCTTCAAAGTTAATTTCAATATTTATTCATAGAATTTTCATGTAGCATTATTTTGGTCATATATATGATAATCCACGATATTATAAAAGGCTTTTTTTAATTTCTTGGAGATTCTAATAACTCTGGAAACGTCAACTTTAGGCACGCGCCGATAGCGTAGAGTAATAGCCAACAAGTCAAAGAAGAGGCATAAAGTAGTTTTAAAGCAAGACCTGTCAAGACTTAGTTAAATTTTAGCAGTTTCTGTTTCATTCCATTTCCATACAACAAAACCAGAAAATGTATTTTTTCGGTCTAACTATCAGTTTTAGAGAAAAACGTTTAATAACAATTGTTAATGAGAATGAGGAGATCTTTGGACAGGTATTTTTTAAATGGAATTTGTGACAAAAAATCCTATGTCCCTCCCATAGAGGTTTCGACTGGTGGCTCCCGATAGCCCCAATTACGTGAGGCCACCGCTCGCCGATCAAATTACCATTTCATCGTCCCATATCAGAGTTGGACGCGCCAAATGTTCCGGATTTGCGCACGATCGTGTTGACTAGTCTTTTAATAAAATTAAATTTTTTTTAAAAATGGATACACTTAGAAAAGCCTCCCTGTATATTATAGAAATAATAATAATACTGTAATATTTTGCATGTAAACATATAATGTAAAACTGCAAGAAAATAAGAAATAATAAATAAGCTTTATTATTATTATACTATTAAGTTTACCTTTTGTATTTTTTCCTTAAATGATTAGTTGTTTTGTTGATTATCATACCAATAAGTGAAAATGTTGAAGACAGAAGAAGAGCTATATGATATGAAGATGAAAACAATAAAGACTAATTGATTTTCCCCTCAAAACATGATACTTGTTACTTGTTAGTTTCGGCCGAAACCGAAACCGAGACTGTTGCCGAAATTCAATTTCGGTCGGAATCAAATATTAAGTATGAGATTCTAACGCAAAATAGTTATTTTGTTAAAATTAAAAATTTCATTAAATTCATACTTCACTTATTCACACAATACTTCACTTATACATACTTCAAGTGGTTAAGTGATAATTTCAAGACGGAAAGATTAAAATTCGTATTTTTACTAAAAGACGCATTTGCTAAGCTGTAGGCTTCCGCACCAGGGGTCGTGTTTTCAATTCCCACTCCGAGCAAATATTTTACGACTCAAATTTATTCCGGATCTGAGTGTTTATTCCCCAAGAGGCTTGATGTCAGGGAGGCGGCAATAGTATTAAGAACATGATTCACATTTCAGTAGAATCGACAATGTGCCGAAACCACTATCCAAGGTCCAGTTCAACTGAGAATAATATAAAATGATGTATATGCATTTCAAATTCGAGGCCTGCGCGAAATTTAAGTATACTAAATATATCTGCTTAACTTTTTCGAGAGTGGAGACGTGATTTTATGTATTATGATAGCGCAAAACAACCGATATTTGCCATAGTACAAATCGCGATTTATCAGTTTTCATTTTTTGAAGAGCTCTGTTGTCTATCTCAAAAACTCATCACATTAGATCTAGGTATATGATATGAAAATTAAACGGGACCGTTCCGGAGTAAAACCAAAAATAGAATTTCATAAAAAATAATGAATAAAAAGAACAAAATGAATAAAATCCTATTCATGATGGACCGAACATACATAAAACACCATATGAACATCCCAATTGATAACTTCCTCCTTTTTAATGTTGGTCAATAATACAACATACATACTGTATCAGTCCTTACTAATATTATAAAGGCGAAAGTTCGTTTGAATGGATGGATGGATGTTTGTTACTCTATCCCACAAATACTACTGAATGGATTTTAATGAAACTTTACAATCATATAGCCTAAATGTCAGAATAAGACATAGGCTATAATTTATATACATATTTGTCTTTTTGTCTGAATGTTACGCCTTCAGCCTATTCTACGCAGACGTAGTCGCGGGCAGCAACTAGTTGTCAATATATGACTATATCTTCAGACATTTCTTATAAAGATTACTTTTAAAAATCACTCTCATGTTTTGTAATTAGTCGAATGGAATTTCAAGGAAACATAATTTATAAAATAAAACTGGCCTAAGTTACTCCTTATAACATCAGCTATCTGCCAGTGAAAGTCCCGTCAAAAGCCGTTTCAGAGGTTAGCCGGAACAAAAAGACAGACAGATAATAATTGTTAGAAACATTATTTTGGTATGTGCATTTATTACAATTTTATTTATGTGTATAGTAGATTTTATAATTTCCTTACCAGCGTTCGTGGCCACGGAACAGAGGCTAAGTTATACACGTCTTGATGTCAAAGTTACGTCGGGATTAAAAAATCAAAATTAAAACGCGATAAAATCCATAAACTAGTTATATTATTATATAGTATATTTAATAGATTTAGACATAGTTAGTGTAATACTTTATCAATAAAACCATGTATATACAATGTGTCGTTACCATCGACACACAACGACAATAAATCAACACACGTCTAATGCTAATTGCCAATAATCATAAAAAAAAAATTAACGTTAAAAAATCCATCATTAAAAATAAATATTTTTCAAATAACTAATTAAGTAAAAAAGAAACAAAATTTGTAACACTCTATACTAACTATAACTGACTGATCCATACGTTCAGACTTTCATTCGTTGCCACAGTGTCGCATTACAAGCCTCTCCTTCTAACAGTATGTTTTGTCTCTTTTAAATTCATTCAACCCATTCGTATGATTTGTGACCTACACAAATTAACTTTACGTTACAGTTTCATATGTAAGGCTGTTATAAAATTCTTTGTTTTGAGAAATTTAATAACTCTGTAAATATTGATGTTTAAAGAATGTAAATGTTTAATACAATTTTAAAAAGTTATCCTCTATATGTGTGTTCATTTCTTGTCGCGATTGTTAAGACACGCTGTATAATTATAAACTAAAGGAAAATTAAGATAAGACACCTTCGGATGACTTAAAACTCGTAACGATCATATCACAATTCACACGTGACCATTTTGCGCCTTGGAATTTACAACATTTATGAGAATCATCCAATATGAGCGATCCAAGACATTATTAACAACATTTTAAACAAGTTTATATGAACCTATGGAATACTTTTACTTTTACTCGTTCTCGATTGTACGCAAATTAGCGTTTATTTAATTAATTAATGCTTAGGTAAAAATGCAAAATATTTTACCAACACGCTGAAGCTATTGATGTTCGCCATGAAAAAAGATAAATATATGACGGCATACATAATACGGAAAGGCAAGTCACGCGGTCGTCAATAATCGGAACATTTAATACCCATTACATACATGCGCCAAACTTTAGCTAACTAGGCAGATTTTTCCCTTACCGTGGCTAAATATTACTATTTACTGATTATGTAAATGTTCATTATCAGTAAATAGTCAAGACTATTTACTGATAATGAACATTTAACACGACCTCACAGAAGACCGGCGTAAAGTAGAAGTGTTATGTTACATTTCTGCGTTTCATTTGGTGAGTAAGGTAGCCGGGGCCCACGTTATTAAAAGGTGGCAACGCATCTGTAACCCTACAGGTGTTGCAAATGTACATGGGCGGCGGTTATCACTTAACATCAGATGAACCGCCAGCTCGTTTGCCACATTCTCACACAAAAAAATCATATTTGTGGCACAAGTGGATTGATGCTTGCCATTTAATATGCATATATATAGCAAGGGCCAGAAGATAATATATGAATTCTTGAGTCGCTATTCAAAAGGAAGTTGAAAATGCGTGCAATTTTTTTCACTTACAAAAAATGGTAGTTTATCTGGGTAATTGTTTACATACAGTATTACATTTGTGGCACACACATATTTTTGAAAAAATAAGTGTAAAATAACAAATGTCGGTGACATTTATGTTGAGAATTACAATAATTAAATCTTGCAATACACTAAGGAAATCCATTATTCCGTTGAGTACAAAATTATTTTTTATTAATAATGTTATGACGGAACTCACGTTTTTAATTTGTTGAGGAATACGGTGATACAGGATACTCAAAACTTTTTTTTATATGATTATTTGAAATTATTATGACTAATTAATGGGATACGTTCGTTGGATGTATATTTTAGAGTTCCGTACCTTTAAAGGTAAAAAAAAGGATCCTAAAGTATCTGGAAAAGGGGATTATAGTATCTGATATAAATTTCAACATGCTAGGTCCACCCGTTCCTGAGAAAATCGGTGGAGACTTATTTACCAATTTTATTATGGCGTTATAATGAATGGAAAGGTACGGAACCCTCGGCATACGAGTTCGATTTGCAATTGACCGGTTTTTTTTAATATAATGATAGGCGGACCAATGCCCACTTCGTAAACATTTTTACTTGTGATAAAATTATGTGTGTGCTTCGGTTAGTACTGCGTGCTATGATTCATTTCCTGAGTGCCAAGAGAAGGGCTATATTTTGACTTTATATGTACCAATTAACGGTTTAATAGGCTATTAAGGCGCTGTATGCAGTGAATTTTTAACTATTTGGGTGGTGAAGTATGAGGAAGCGGAGGAGGGGTAACGCCGCTTAGCGGCGCGCAGCGCGCGAGTTTCGTCGACGCGCCGCTAGACCATTCATTACCTCGTGTGTAGTGATGGGCCGTAGGACACTATCGATAGTATCATGGAAGACTGTTGAAAATGTACACAGATGGTCCATATAATGTCTTTTATAGGCCATGATTATATTTTACTCTTATATTATTATAGGAATAGTAATAAACAAACAAATATAAAGTTTGAGAAAGCAATCAACAATTTTAGAAAATCTACCTATTAATTATTTTAAATTATCAGGAAACGGATTAAAATTGATTAAAATTACATGTTTAGGTCAAATAAATTAATAAAGGCAGATGAAATTTCTTGCAACTAAACAATAAATAAACGAATAATTATTTATTTTGATTTAAAGTAAAATTTTCTCATAAAAATTTTAAGCAATTTCATAGTCTCCTCGGCAGAAATTACGAATACTTTTTGTTACATATTTTCTTAAACTTTATATCTTTAATTTATCCTTTTAATGTGAAAGACTTACTACGTTATATTAATTCTTCAATGAAATTATATTTAAAAAATTATCGATAAAATTCCTTATATCGATAAATGACAACAATTATAACTAGAATCGAAATATTGTTCCCTTCCGCAGACGTCGTGTAGCCTATTGGTCCGAGCGTCATGGTTGGTACATCTTTTTCCAATTTTAATTTGTTAATCAATTAATTATTTTGTTGTTATTTGATAAAATGTGGAAAATACAAAAATTATAAAACAATTATTTTTTTATTATCGTGTTCGTAAAAGAATAGGTTTCGTTTAGGGTGAAAAAAAAAAATCAACAAAAAATTAAATATTTTAATAAAACAAAAAAAAAAACAACATACAATATAAGACTTTTTAAAAAGTGAAAACTTATGTTTGATGATTTGTGAAATGATTAATGAAAACTTGGTTTATTATCTGATAGATTGTTCTCCAAATGTTGCGTTCTACGTTCAACAAATGCAATAATATTTCGTTGTAATTATTTACAAAAATAAAAAAATCAACAAAAATTAAATGGTCAATTAAAAAAAATACCTACAAAAACAAATAATTAAAAATACGAAATATGTGAATATATATTTTCTAGTTTCGTGTTTTCGAAAGATCTAATAAAATTATAACCCTCAATAATAAATAAATACGGAACATATTTCGTAACGGTGAGCGGAAGACGAGCGGCATAGGTCCATCTAGCAAGGCGCCTCAGCCGCTCTCTGTTCAACGTGTGGAGTTGAAGAGAGCCGAAACAACGCCGCGGTGGCGCGGTGTTTTGCCCATCGCGTTCGAATTAATTTTAATGAATTAAATTAATATTTAGAGATATCTTACATCAATCAAAAAATTAAAACAACAGTCCTTTTTATTAATATATTCTACACCACTGATATTAATTTCATTAAGATTTGTTGATGTATTACGTTCATTTTTGGTTTTGAATTTCTCTTTTAGAGGTAGTGTCATGATTTTTTTCTATCGAGAAAATATATGGAGAATATGTTTTGGAAACAATGTTCCCTTAGAATGTACGATGAAGATTAACATATATTTTTCTTGCTGCTATAAAATGTGTAGATTTTGATAAAAAATCTTTTTAAAAACCTATTTTTACTGCATACAGCGCTTTAAGTGTGTAAGATGATTTTAAGCAGGCCCTAATGTTGCAGGCGCGTGTTCCTTTTGTTACTAAAGGTAGTGTTGCCGATCATTTGGAAAACCCTATAATAACACCAAGATCACTTTCCATCGGTAAGTTTAACCAGTAATCATTTAAGAAAACAGGATTTTTAATTCGTTATTTCGTAGGTTATTCTGTGTTATCAGTGTATTATTAGTGAGATTTGGGGAAACTGTGGGAGATGAAATACAAATATCATTACATCAACTATCGATGGGAATATTACAATTTTAAAAATTACAATGTTTATTTTATCAGTAAATGATAGCTAAATAAAATAAATGGATTCCATGAGCTCTTGCAGTAAATAATATTCTTGTTTATTCCTTCTTTTATTCTTGGGTTTCACATTTCCTACATATTCCGCACTAGAATTGCTTGGGAGACATTATACAGTGGGAATGAAATGAAGACCAGTGGAAAGTTCACAAGCCTGTTTAGACTAATAACAGAAAAATATTTGCAAATAAGATGTCACCATATTTGTAAATCAGATTAATAAACATATTTTTAAACTTAAGCCCAGGGAAAATTCAAAGAGAAAGTTATTCCGAAAATAAACAAAAAGGGATGAGTTGTGGTATATAAATTGCCACTTTTTTCATTGTAGTTTTGTTGTTACTGAAAAGATAAAAGTACTAATCTACAGAATAATTACTATATTCAATCTATTTTAATTAACTTTCACAAATTATTAAACAATAGAGTAAAGGTAAGTTAATAATTTGGAGCAGGTATGCCTAAACACGCACACTTTGACAGTTTGTTTACAAATTCAAAAACTTAGGACAGTTAGAGGTCGTCGTTTGTTAGCATTGCTCCATCTAAACAAGTATTATAATCAAAGAGCAATCAATTACCTTTATGTGATGTTAAGTGATTATGTCCACCCTTAGCCTATATCCGCAATCTCCGTGGGGCAACCTTCTGCAAGAGTCAATTTTTTTGCTTACTCAATTATTGTACTTCCTGGCGAGCCCGATTCGTGTGAATCGAGCTCCTTCTTGTATTGCTCGATTTGTATTCAGTACACTGAGGTACTACTTAATATTCATTTCGGAAAATTATTTAATTAATAAAGCGGATTATTGCTTAAGATAAAAAGTGGTTTCTTATTTTAACTACTAACACAGAAACGTCTAAACTCGCAAAAAAAATATAAATCATAGCCAAAAACTCGAACATGGGACAAAACTATTATTCGTTTTTCAGTGATAGATCTTTCTTCTGTTTGCGAAGGAAACTGCGAGGGACATAACCAAAATCCTTGATTGACACACCGTCAGGAATTAAACTATCTCTAATACAATATAAACAAGATCAGCCGTAAAAAAGAGAGACATACATAGTGGAATACATTAACCTTTAACCTTATTTTTGAAGCCATCTATCAGAGATTGCAGAAACTGTAGTAGTATTTTAGTGTTACGTGCTATCCCTCCTGTATCGCGAGCTGGCTCGAAAGCAGTTGGTTTAGTAAGACAACAGTCAAAATACGCAGCAGCAGAAAACCAGTTTCGGGGGTACGTCACAGAAGCGTCCTTGATCGCAAATATTTTTCCACTATAATGGTAGACGCCCGGTGACGTCACGTCGCCTCATTCGAGCGGCGCGCACCGCCAGTCTGCCATCGCCATCGCTCCTCCGCGCGTAGCATACGCGGGCCTCACTCGCACCGCTCTCGCCTGTTTCAGCGTCCGTCGCGTCCGTCGCGTCCGCGCGGCCGTTTCGCGCGCTTGTAGGGCTGCCGCGACGCCACGAACGCCACGATCACCGCGATGCTAACCGTGACCATCCGCGGGACCGTGAATTTTATTACGAATTAAATCCAACATATCCGGAGAATACCTCTGTATAATATTTACGCCAAGCCAAGGCCGCATCATCTTTATACTTTTGCGTGAGGCAATGTATACCTACGTGTTTTTTCGATCTCGCGCCTCATTCTGAACCTTTTTCTAAACTTTTGATTTGGTATGAAAAAGAACATGTAAACAATTTTTATGATCCAAATATAACTGACGTTGGGAAGTCAGTCAATATAAATTATACCATTAAGTTGGTAAAATAAAAATTGTATAAATCTACATATAAAGAAACAGAAAATAATATATAAAAAATTAGATATTACAGTTTTTACGAATGTCACTAGACTGGTTTGTTAGAATAAAGGCCCATTTACACGATGCCATTTTCTTGAACATACAAGAGCAATAATTGAATGCAATAAATTGCGCGCAATAATTGTTTAGACCATTTGTTGTTTATACCATGCAACTCATTTATTGCTTCAATTTAATTGTATACAACAGGCAAGAAACTGGCATCATGTAAATGGGCCTTAACGATGATAAGAAAGATAAAGAAGGAAGTAACTTAAGTGCTGTCATTGTCCCGATGAAGGCGATTCATACTTTTGATATGAATTTGATAAACGACTTAAGTACTCATCATTCAGGCGATTGATAAGAATAGTGAAATTATAGTCACCGTGAAATAATCTTCCACAAGAACTGAATGATTTAATTGTTATCAACAAGAATTATGATAAGAGTGCTACGGTCATTATCAAGGCGGCGTCGTATTTTTACTACAATTCGAACACTCCTCAACAATAAATCAAATAAAATAAATAGGTATATATGTAAAAGTATCAAATTATTAATAGACATTAATAATTTGATATTTATGATTGATAATGATATGATTGTTAATAGACATTAATAATTTGATATTTATGACACCTTTTTACCCTTTCTTAGTTTAAAGGATAAAAAAAATGAATATTTAATTAATTTTATTAGACTAGCGATATACTATACCATAATAAACTTTCCTCTAAGGCGTTTCGGAAACATGGCTATGATTAAATTTACTTCAGATAACGTTATACGTTTGAGAGTTACTGCTACTTCGTGAATGATTTTACCAGTTATTGTTATCTTTTTCTTATGTAAAGAGTTATGCAATAGAATAGTTTATTTAAAGAAATCCAACCTGCGTTCACTTATGTTTGACAGTTTATTAATCAAGGATAAACGCTTTGGGAAACTCGATTTTCCGTTGATCGTCGGTTAACCAGTCATTAATTGTAATTATATAAAATCAAAATAAACGTTGTTTTCAAGCGTTGTAGCAACTAAAGCCAAGTTAAATAACAATTAACAAGAGATTAATCGTAAAATTAAATTTCCTTGACCTTTCGGACACTGGGCGATATCGTAAATCTATGTAATTTTGAATTGATATCGTATTTTTATGAATGCAAGAGGCAGCTGTGACGACGAATACATAATACTCCCACTGTCCAAGGTCCATTCTGCCATATCATTATCAAGCTACTGCTTTTTGGAGGGGCTGAAAGCTTGTAAAAATATTCTCCGGCCATATCCTTTGACATATTTCATTATCCTATCCATATCAGAGGCTCCTTAATTCCGTCCTTCAGAATGGTGCTGCATCAGAGGGGTGGAGCAGAAGTGCAGTGGTGCTGTTCTTCAAGAAAGGTGATAACGCTCTCTTGAAGAACTATAGACCGATATCCCTTCTGAGCCGGGCCTATGTGCTGTTTTTAAGAGTCATCTTGAATCGTCTCGCTTACAAACCCGACGACTTCCAACCTCCCGAACAAGCCGGATCCGAAAAGGCTTTAATACCATAGACCACAATACGCACTGCGGCAGATTATACAGAAGACTGAAGAGTATAATTTGCCTTTATACAGCGTGTCGTTACAACCGCGACAATAAATGAACACACATATAGAGGATAACTTTTTAAAATTGTATTAAGTAATTACATTCTTTAAACATCAATATTTACCGAGATATTAAAATTTGCAAAACAACCATTTTTAGAACACCCTTACGTATAAAACTGTAACGTAAAAGTTCATTTGAAAAGTTCACAAAGCATATAAATGGGTTGAATGAATTTAAAAGAGATAAAACATACTGTTAGAAGGAGAGACTTGTAATGCGACGTTTTGGCAACGAATGAAAGTCTCTGAATGTATGAATCCCTTAGTTGTAGTTGTTTAGGTAGTTACACATTTTGTTTCTTTTTATTTAATTAGTTTGTTTGAAAAATATTTTTTTTTATTATGGATTTGTTTAACGTTTTATATTTTTTTATGATTTCTGGCAAGTAGCGTTAGACGTGTGTTCATTTATTGTCGCTATTGTAACGAAACGCTGTATATGTGGACTATGAAGGTCTTCGATTCTGTCGAAATTTGGGTGGTCCTCCATGCCCTCCAGCGGTGCCAAATTGACAATCGGTATATCGAGGTGCCGAGGTGTTTGTATAACAAGGCTACGATGTCCGTTCAAGTACAATCCAGTAGCACAAAACCTATCCAACTGCATAAGGGTGTAAGACAGGGTGATGCAATTTGGTGTTCTTTACCCCCAAACTCTTGGCCACTACGTTGGAAGATGCTTTCAAGCTTCTGGACTGGAAATGACGTGATATAAACATCAATGGCGAATAAATCACCCACCTTAGATATGCCGACGACATAGTCATCATGGCAGAATAGCTGGACGACCTTAGTACTATGACCTCAACAGTGTCTCTCAACAGGTCCTTAACATAAACACGGACAAATCGAAGATCATGATGATGGTGATGAATGTACGGTGTAGCAATATTAAAAAATATGTAAGGGCTAAACTATAACTTAAAATCAGTTTCAATAGTTTTGTGTTATCCGTAGTTTAATGTTATGGTTGAATATTGTTTTATTATTATTTTTAATTTAGCTTTAATACGAATGAATTAATATTTATTTAGTTTCAACAAACACGTAATTCTTTTAATTGTTAACACGTTATGTTAACAATTAAAAGAATATACCTATAACTACGGCAAGAAAACAAATAGGTTTCAGTACATACCAAAATTTTTAAATATAAATAAACTAGACTAAGCTTAACACAAAGCTGGTATAATTCAAGGACAAAAACAATTATACCTTATAATTGTAACACAAATCTGGTATTTTATTTCAAAGACAGTAACACAATAACTACTAATCTTATCCTTTAAACGAGCAATTCTTGTATATATATATAATCGGAATCTCGGAATCGGCTCCAGCGATTTTCATGTGCGTAGATTCGGGGGAAAAATCGACCTAGCTAGGTTTTATTTTTAGAAAATGTCCTTTTATTCCTGTTGTCAGGGAATGAAAAATATTATTCGAATATGACAGTAAATTTCGCCGCAAAACAAAATGTTATAATAACTCGGCCGGTAATCGGGCGGCCGTGGTTCCAAACGACCATTTACACACTTACGGCCGTGGTTCGTTTATCACCGACCGGTCCTCCATTTGGCCGATTGTTTACTATTAGTTCTACCCAAAGGATAAAACGGGGCCCTATTAGTCTATCTGTCCGTCTGTCACCAGGCTGTCTCATGAAACGTGATAATTACACAGTTGAAATTTTCACAGATCATGAAACTTATACCAGACACTGAGGTCTTGAATCCCTATTAAGTGTCTAAAAATCAAGGTCTTGAGTCAAGACGATTAAAAGATTTGGACAAATTTAGATTTTCGCGAAAAATTGGGTCGAAAACCTATGTGGTAGATCTCGTCGACCTAGAATGGCAAAAAGCAATATTTTACAGCACAAACAAAGGAACAATTCCGAAAAATAAAAGAAAATTCAGGTAAATTTTTCTACTTACAAGTTTTCGCGAAACTCTAAATTTGCCCATATTATGTTTTTATAAGGTTTTCTCAGGACCTTGTTTTACTTAGGTATAAAAACTTACACCTAATAGGAACCACAGTATTTGGTTAAAGTTTCAACTTGCTAGGTCTAACCGTTCCTGAGAAAATCGGCGGTGATTATTTACTCATTTTATTATGGCGGTATAATGTACAGGTACCCACGGCGTACGAGTTCGACTCGCACTTGACCGTTTTTTATAGATAATGCTACGGTGAATGCATATTTGTTTACTTTGGTGGGGCTACGCAAAAGCAGCTGCAGTTGCACGAATGGTGAGTGAGGTAATTTGGGCCAACTTTTTTAAAACTTATCAAGGCATTTGCAAACCCTCAGGTGTTACAACACCGATGTCGATGGGCGGCGAAATTCGCTTAACATCAAGAGAAATGCATGCTCATTTTACAATTTTTCACATAAAAAAAATAATGACATAAAAACTGTTTTCTGTACTGCAAAATAATTTTATATATGCCGATGACATGAAAATTTTATATGAAATAAAGTAAATGAAGGACGCGTGTCACCTCTAAGAGGACCTATTCCGCTGTCAATCATAATTTAAAAGCACGACGTATTTCATTGACTAATCCCCGGTTTCTGAAACACTGTTCATCGTAGAAGTCAAACTAATCAGCTGTCAAATGGCTTATTAAATTCTGAATTGATCAGAATGATCTTCTTAATGATCAATTCAAATAGTTTAAGTCCTTTTGGCAACTCAAATAACATTTGAAAAGCCATTTGACAGCTGATTAGTTGACTTCTACGATGATCATTGTTTCATACGGGGCGTTAATTAAAAACGCAGGTTTCATTATCAAATATTCCACTATCTCGAATTAATAGAAAAAGGCGCGTAGCAGGTTACTTATTTATTATTTAAGCTATTAGATCAGACTTAAGATTTTTTTCCTGCAGCCACATCTCGGAAACCGATTACAGGCAAAACTATTGGAGCAAGCACATCTTTCAACTTTATAGTCAGAAAACATGAAGTTGATTTGCTTAGTACAACTGGCAATCGAATTAAAAATTACTGAAGTATAATTTTGTAACAAAAAATAGTTATACCAAGATACTGTCTATTCCGTATTGACTCTGTCCTTATTTTTGTCTTTATGTAATATATTTTTCACTGGTAAGTCTACCTACCAGTGTAAAATAAAATAAAACAAAACAGAGTGAAATTTAAGATTGGCACCGAATAAAGATGTAAGTTCTATGTTATGAAGGTGACAAGGGTAGTGGGTGAAGCTAACATCGCGAAGCCTATAGTGATCGTCGACACTTATAATGCAAATTGGACTAAGTGAAAAATGTACTTAACAAAGAGATGACACGATTCGAGGTTTTGTCATCAGCCGGGCAAGAGACTCATTCATCATTTAATTTTGTCGTCATTCATATCATCATTTAGTCGTTATTGATGCATTCATTTCATTTTATAGGAAGCCCTTCCACAACTTTCATGTTCATCAACTACTAGTAAAACAACATATTTTACTGATTCGTACTTTTTAAATACTAATCTATCCTTAACATAAACATCAATAGTATTTAAGTCGTACCTTTTATTTTATATTAATACGTATCTTACATAGAATCTTATATCTTATATTAATATATAATTTTATTAAAAATAAGCTGTGATATATTACTCGTAGTGTCCCCGTAACAGTAACATACTTTTATTCATTGAATTTGAAACTTTTGATTCAAGTATATTATTTGAGTAACCTTTGTTTTAAATCCCGGTATTAGTATCCCATCGGAACAGTAAAGGCATCGTGAGGAAACCTGCATCTTTTAAAAATAATAAAATAAATCAAAAATTAATTCCCGCCATACAGTGAGGGCGCCGCGAGACCTCGGCCTAATACTCTCTTTACTTTCCCAGTAGCGGAACAAATATTATTATAGTAAACCAAAAATAGTGAGCCCAATACAAAATTCTCAAAACAATGTATATATAACGACTTCTGAGAATCAATTATAAAGAATGATTTGTTAACATAGTAAATTTATTTAATTGTTACGTAACCATTTTCGTTAAGTACTTATTTGAATAACCGGATACAATACAAGGCTGAAGAGCGGCGACACGCAGAATGCCATTGAGCGGTTTCGTATAGACTAAAATGAGAAATATTTAATATGAAACAGAAGCCACATAAAAGATATGTCGGTGCAATTGCTATGCGAGCGTCTTACATCAATCACTATAGGAGTAAGAACCGAATGAATTGTTCGCGATATGATGGTGGTGGTGGATGAACGGTTCGCAATTATCGCGGTAATAGCAATTGTAAAACTAGGATATCAAATCATAAATAATAAAGAGCATGAATAATATTTTGAATAAAATAAACTGAAAGTTGATGATCCGCGAATCATTTGACATATTTGCACCTTGTAATTTGCTATCAATCAACATAAAAATAAAGTAGTGGCAAAAATCGGACAAAATCGTTTTGGACAAAACTTTCACATAAAAATTATAGTTTAGTAAGACAGACACAAGTAAAAATAATATAAAACTTATACTTCGTACGGCCGATTCCGGATGATCCCACATCAGTAACTACTACTGATTATTTTATTATTGTAAAAACCTTGTTTCACGGTGGTAGGGCTACGCAGCTGCTTTGGTTGTTGCACGAATTTCCGGGTAAGTACCACGACCTCACAGAACACCGGCGTCAAGTGGAAGCGGAAATACTTCGCGTTTCGTCTGGTGAGTGAGGTAGCCGGAGCCAATTTACAAAAGGTTGTTACCGCATCTGCAACCCTCGGGAGTAGCAGATGTCCAAGGGCGGCAATATTCACTTAACATCGGGTGAATCGCCTGCTCGCTTAACATCTTTTCAAATAAAAAAAAATTGTCAAGCGCGCTGGCGGTCCACCCGATGTCGAGTGAATACCGCCATCGATGGACATCTACAGCACCTAGACTTACAGATGCGTTGACAACCTTTAAAAAAGTGGGCCGCGGGCCTCGATTAAAACACACACGCACACGCACGCACAAACACACACGCACAGACATACACACACACACATACATTACATATTTTCTTAAACTTCAATTTATCCTTTAAATGTGAAAGACTTACTAAGTTATATTAATTCCTCAATGAAATTATATTTAAAAAATTATCGATAAAATTCTTTATATCGATAAACGACAACAATTATAAGTAGAATCGAAATTTTGTTACCTTCTGCAGACATCGTGTAGCCTATTGGTCCGAGCGTCATGGTAGGTGAACAATTACGGTGGTCCCATGTTTAAACCTTATTGTGTGGTGTATCTTTTTCCAATTTTAATTTGTGAAACATATATTTATTTTGTATTTATTTCATAAAATGTGGAAAATAAACAAATTAATGAAAAAATTATAAAACAATTATTTTTCGTATTCATATAAGGTTAACTTTCATTTTAGGGTGAAAAATTAAATATTTTAATAAAAAAAAAACAATATACAATATAAGACTTGTTAAAAATTGGAAATAATGAAAAGTTTGTTTATCAGATCAGATTCTGACTGATGATTGATTTTTCTCCAACTGTTGCATTCTAAGTTTAAAAAATACAATAATATTCTGTTGTAATTATTTAAAAAAATAAAAAAATCAACAAAAATTAAATGATAAATAAAAAAATATTTACAAAAAAGAAAATAAAGAAAAAATAAGACAAAGAAATGTAGGGATTTGAACCCGATCCCTATAGAATGATGGTCCACTGTATGTATAGGACTGATAAACCTTATCAATCACAAGATAAGATATTGAAATTATGCTTTAGTTGTTAATACATACAAATAATTAAAAATACGAAATATGTGAATAAACATTTTTTAGTTTCGTGTTTTCGAAAGATCTAATAAAATTAAATAAATACGAGCGGCATAGGTTCATCTAGCAACGCGCCTCACCGCTCTGTTCAACGTGTGGAATTGGAAGAGAACCGAAACAACCCCGCTGTGGCGCGGTGTTTTGGCCGTCGCGTTCGAATTAATTTTAATGAATTAAATTAATATTAACAAATATCATACTTCAATCAACAAATTAAGACAACAATCCTTGTTATTAAAATATTCTACATCACTGATATTAATTTCATTAAGATTTGTTGATACGTAATACGTTCATTTTTTTATTTGAATTTCTCTTTTAGAGGTAGTTTCATGATTTTTTTCTATCGAGAAAATATATCAAGAATATGTTTTGAAAACAATGCTCCATTAGAATGTAAGATCAAGATTAACATATATATATATATATATTTTGCTGTTATAAAGTGTATAGATTGTCCTAAAAATTTTTTTGAAAAACCTATTTTTACTGCATACAGCGCCTTACTTAGCTAGTACGAATAAATACAATGTAGTTATATATGCTGAGACCCCCACGAATGCCCAACACTTGACTATGTATGTAGGTAAAATCAAAATTTTTGTAATTGTTTACAATAAAAAAATAATATAGTACATCAATACAGATAAATAAAATTGGAGTCTGTTTGTATTATTAAAATACCCGCTCTTTACTAAATGCATATGGATGTGTACACGGTACATATACCAAAATAACATTTATTACAATTTTTGTCCGTCTGTACTCTTTGTTCCCGCTAATCTCTGAGACGGCTGGACGGATTTTTAAGGGACTTCCACTGACAAATAGCTGATTAATAAATAAAAAGAATAAATAAATAAGCTAAATTTATTTTAGAAATTACATTTATTTCTATTAACCTTTGCAGAAAAATAAAATTGGAGTGTCTGTTTGTAACATTAATATTACCACTTTTTACTAATTGCATATGGATGTTTACACGGGACTTATACCAAAATAGCATTTTTTTGAATTTTTGTCTGACTGTTTCTTCTGGGTTATCTGAGAAATGGCTGTACCGATTCTCACGGAACTTTCACTGGCAAATAGCTGATAATGTCTGTAGTTAGGAGGATATATATATTTATATATATATACAGTTGCAGTTGTCGCGGTTGTAACGACACGCTGTATATTAATAAACATAATTTCTATAATAAAATAAGCCCAAGTAACTCCTGATCACAGACATTATGTAGTATAAATTCCACGCGGACGGACTCGCGGGCACAGCTAGTAATGTAATATATGAGCTACCGCGCTTAACATCAAAGGCTGCATCGCCACTTACTATCAGGTGGGATGGCAGTCAAGTACTGACCAGTTCGAAATATAAAAAAAGAAAAATATATTATCATTGCATATTAAATAGTCGCTCGTTTTTGTGTTTAAACCTTGTGTAAACTGAAACATGACATATCCACTGCATAGCAAGAGGAAGTTCAGGACGAAAGTAACAACGTTGGTCTGTTGTTCTAGCAACGTCAGTTGTCCTAGCAACTAATCCTTAACTTTCTGTCGTTACCAATTTCTTGCCGAATACCTCCTGCTTTTGTCAATGATATTATGTACAAATACGAGGTAGATTAGACACTAGCGCACCAAAACAGAGACAATCCAATTACACCAATCGGTGTAATTCGATTGCAATTCTACAGGGAGACTTTTTTAAAGGTGCCCAAATGTACACACAAGGTTCAGACTCGGTAGTATAATCGTTTATTGAAATAAAAACAAACTTTTTCAAAAAAAAAAAATTACCATTCTATTCCCTAAAAAACAGATCTTGTTGACAACGCGGTAGTCATTCATAAATACCTAAATTTTACTGACGAACTTGTGTGCGTGTTAGTTATGAATGATCGCGCGTAAATTAAATGAGTTGCGTATAAATCACGCACTTTTTGAGAAAAGTACAAATGAATGTAATTAATAATTATATATTATAATTATGTATTAATATATATATATATATATATATATATATATATATATATAGCCGTGATAGCTCAGTGTCCGGGCGCTCGCCTTTAATTCAATATACTCGAGCAATCTGAGTTCGATCCCCGGTGCCGGCACCAATGAAGTTTTTAACTTTAAGTGCTGACTTATCACGTGCTCCGCGGTGAAGGAAAACATCGTGAGGAAACCTGCATATTTTCGAAATAATAACAAAAAAAAATATATTTCAAAAATATGTGAAGTCCACCAATCCGCAGTGGGGCCGCGTGGTGGACTATGCCCTGATACCCTCTATATAGAGGAGGCCTTTGCCCTGCAGTGGGACATGTATAGGCTGTTACTTTTTACTTTTTTTATATATATATACATATGAAGTGGAACAATTTTTAAATGTACTAGCGATCCGCCCCGGCTTCGCACGGTTGCAATGCATATACATAATATAAAACTTTCTCTTGAATCACTCTATCTAGTAAAAAAAAACCACATCAAGTTCCGTTGCGTAGTTTTAAAGACCTAAGCATACATGGGGACAGACCGACAGCGGCATGACTTGTTTTATACAATGTAGTAATTTAAAATAACTATATTGCGTCGATGGTTTTATTACACCACTCAAGAAGAAGCAAATAAAAGAAAAAAGCTAACAAAAAGTTAAAGCTTACAAGAGTGAATGGGGAAGTCCGACTATCAACGGCAAATGATGTCACAGGCGTAAAATATCGACAGAAAGAAATACAGTATCCAATAATTTAATTAAAAATTATATGGTAAGATATTTTTATACGGATCTAAATGGTTCAGATTCTTATGATTATAAACAATAGAACTTTTCTGGCCAAAGCAAAAAATAAGTATAAGTACGAAGAAAAATAAAACTTTAAAATACATAAATGTGAAATAAATAATAAGAAAAAAATTTGTACTTTATCGTGTATTTTATCTAAAATCCTGAGAGTACTACTATATTTTTATAACTTACAAAAATATTACTCTATTTACTTCAATAGAGGGTGGCACTGGCAACCTTAAGAAAAAAAAAATATCGAAACAATGATTATTAAATTTGAGACACGTAGATTTTGAGAAAACAAAATAATAAAAAATAATACTTAACGATCTTAACCTACAATATTAATAAATAACTGCTGAACCTTATTTGTATTAAGTAATAATAACGTTTGTAATGTATTCTACAAAGTATACCTAATCGTGAGTTCCCTCTTATAATTGCTAATAAAAACGAATTTTGTACACAACACAGTGGCGAATTTACTTTATATTAAGTAGCTTAGTAATCGTTGTTTCGGTAATGTTTTCCTATCAATTAAAAATATTTAGATACGAAAAATACGCAAGCCGCTATTGTAAAAATTTATCCAAGTTACTACAAAATAGTCGAAATTCGAAAAGTCGTAAACTTTTTTATTATAATGTAAATTCACTAATTCTAATATAATTATAATACACTTTGATTACATAATTGTTAATGATTATAGACAAGTATATAATCAAACATAATACCGAAAAAATATTAACTATGTTTTCTAATTTTATCAAATATTAATACGATTTGGATAAACGTCAAAAAACATGTAACCAATATTGCGTAGATTGAGGTTATTCTATGGCCACTGAAACATTAGGCTGAGTCACCCATTAGTACTAGAACTTTTTTAGTTTCGGGGACCGTTACATTTCTAATGTCAACAGGAAGAATAGTTAATTATTCGTACTTACATACACAAAAGATAACTAAAATATTTCTGCGACCGCAGCGCCTGCTTTACCGGTGGGCGAGTCAGTAGCAGTAATATCCTCGGGGAAGCCGTTGAGGTTTAATGTCTAAGTTCTGGTTCGAACGACCCGCGCCCAGTTTAGCACAACACACACTCGCGACAACTGGAAGGTCGACGTGCTTCGCGATATAAGGGGTGTCGTGTATCGACCGGCATTCGATCTTCGTTGCGATAGTACTAAGTCTGGCGGATCAACGAAAAGACGTACCGTCGCGAGACTGCAGCGCGACTGTGATCAGCGAGAAGGCGACCGACTGCGCGTCCGCGAATAATCGAGCGGCGGGGAGCGTGGCGCGACGCGCGGGGTGCGGTGCGTTGCCATGGTACGAGATCAGGCCACGTGCGGAACGGGCCAATGGCGATCGCGGGGACACGCCGCGTTCTCGTGCCGGCGTCGTGTCGCCGCCGCTCGCTCACACTTGCTTGCAGCTTGCAGTTTGTATTGTTCGGGGGTAACGTCTTCATAGATGTGTCACCCCTAAACTCCTAGATAATCAGTCGTTCGGGCTCTCAATTCCTAACATGCGGTCGCATTAATATGCACCTCATTCCTCAGATTTAATTTTCCACGGACCGCTTTCATTTGTTTAGAGAACGTTTTAATGAAATAGAATCTTTTCAATTTACAACATACTAGTGGTGAAATCAGATGGTTCGTTTTGTTCATTTTCGACTTTCATTCGGCACCTTTCATAACTGAAATCAGTGATATTTTACACTATAGTATAAAATATCATTCCCGGAAATGAAACAATAACAAAATTAAATATATGTAATGAATGAATTGCCTAATTAATCTAACAATATTAAATATTGACATTTGCCTTCGTTCACTCCCATCGGAAAAAACGAAAAATTAACAGTCTGAACACAGAACGTTTACTCGGAAGCGGCCGTTATGTCTCGAGTCCTGTACGTCTAGAAACGCACCAAGCCGCACGTCTTTTTTTTAACGAAATAATCTGAAAGAAGACTGAAGAGTTGTTGAACAGAAAAGAGTTCTATGCCATTTTATGTACCTAGGGAATCCGTGTGAAGACGGAATTAAAGAAAAAATATGTATTCACTCAATGAACATTTATTAGAATTTCTAATAAATGTTCATTGAGTGAATACATAATATTATATTACACATTATTATACATAATATCATATATACTAATTTAGAAAGGTATCATACAGTTATGAACGGATTGTGTATTTTGTTATTTCTAGATTTAATTGTATATCTATAACAAAAGAACAGCATTAACAACAAAAAGTGCGCAATGCATATTTCGGTGTGCTGGATTGGTAAAGAAACAAGAATGTCGTGAAGACGGAAAGAATTGTGTTTATTTAGACGTTCTGTACAAAATTTTCTTATGAATAAACGGTCTTCTATAACTGCAGGCTCCTCTTCTTCCAGGCTGCAGGGTTTCTTCTTTCTAGCTAACTTCTTCTGATAACTTGTTCCACTGACATTGGGCTTGGTGAGCCACTGTTGACCTTAGGGGCCTTCACAGTTTCGCCGTACTTGAGGTGGCCGGGTGCTCGGGGCGCCTAACCTGAACCTCGGCGTATTATCATTACGCGTTATGGTGACTAAGCTCGAGGGCTCCCAAGGGAGCCTCGGCTCGGGCCGTCACGCTATTATTATCATTACCGGTTTGGGAGGCCACCAAGCTCTTAGGGCGCTTTGGCTGACGCTCCATGGACTGACCAGAGGGGCTCCGAGAGGGGACCTCGGCTTGGGCTGTCGCCTCAGGTCCTCTGCGGTCTCAAACGCGTATTGAGTTGTCACTCAATACGCGTTTAGCATTCCGATTCGAGTGTGCCTGAGAGGGCCGGACCTCGACTCGATCTGTAGCTATTATCTGACTGGGAGAATTTCTAGATCTATCATTACTACCACTTCGGAAAGCGTTGGCGCTGGGAGAAGAAGTGGCGGAAGAAACTCCAACAACGCTTCAAATGGGGGAAAACCTGCCAGGTACGTGGCGGAACCTAGTATATGTTTGCCGCGTGTTGGTGTACTTGCGTAACTTTTTAATCCTTTCGATGGCGATAGTCATCGTCAGGGAAGTCGAGAACGTGTTGCGGTCTGCGGTAACCGCGGCGGAAAGTACCTAGCGGCAAGGGTCTGTAGGTGACGGCACCTGTAATTAGCGGATTGGAATGCACGGCGGCGGATTCGAAGGATCGGCGCCACGCCGACTTCAGGAATTGAGCGATGGTGGGCAACTCTAAGTCGACATGTAGGTCGATGTTGCGCATGAACCAGGGTGCTTCCGTAGCTCTGTGCAAGAATCGATTCTGAATGACCTGAAGCCGGTGTATTTGCTTCGGAGCATCGTGCGCGAAGACCGGACCCGCGTACGTCATAATAGGGCGAACTACTGCCTTGTATAAGGTCACCTTATTCCGAATGGACATTTTTGACCTTTTGTTGAGGAGCGGATAGAGGCGACCGAGTACGAAGGCCGACCGATTCCTGATCCGAGTCACGTGCTTGTTGAATTTAAGATGGGAGTCGAGGACGACACCTAGGTATTTGACTTAGTTCACCCATAGTACTGGGCTATCCAGGAGTTTAACGGGGTGTGGATTAGGTACATTCTTTTTGTGTGAGAAAAGGGCGGCCGCGCTTTAGGCGGGATTGATCTCGATCCTCCATTTCCGAAACCAGTCACCGATGGTGATGGCCGCAGCCAGAGATGTGAACCGATTACAATTTAACACACCGGTTCTAAACCGATTACTTTAAAAAAAAACCGTTTTTTTAGGTTTTTAAAGGTTTTTTACTAAGCTTTGTAAAAAGAGCTTATTGGACTATAGTCATGATGCCCATAAACCGCAGGTAAGGGAGAAACAGCAACCAGTATAGACATTTAAAGGGGTTTTGTAGGTCTTGTGGCTTGTAGCTGTAATTAAAATGCTTTTTTTTTACGCGAAAAGTTGTCAAACGAGCAGACGGTGGTAGGGCCTCGCAACAGTGTTCGCTGTTGCACGAATGGGCAGGTCCGTCCGGGTTAATACCTTGACCTCACAGAAGACCGGCATAAAGTAGAAGTGTTGCACTTCTGCGTTTCGTCTGGTGAGTGAGGTAGCCGGGGCCCACATTATTAAGTAATATAAGGTGGCAATGCATCTGCAAACCTACGGGTGTTGCAAATGTCCATGGGCAGGCGATTCTCACTTAACATCAGGTGAACCGCCAGCTCGTTTGCCACTTTCTCACATAAGAGACGGTTCAATTGATGTTAAGTGAATACAGCCGCCCATGAACATCTGTCACTCGAGGGTAACAGATGCGTTGACAACCTTTTGAAAATTGGGCTCCGGCTACCTCACTTACCAGACGAAACGCGAAAGTATTTGTCATACTTCCACTTTACGCTGGTCTTCTGTGAGGTCGTGGTACTTACCCGGACAGGCCTGCCCATTTGTGCAACAGCCGAGGTTGCTGCGTAGCCCTACCACCGTTTAAATTTAAATGTTTTATTACATATTAAAAAATACTTTATTCTAATACATCTAGCGCGAAGTGCTTACTCACTTGTCATAGATTTCTCTGTTTGTTATAAGGTACTTGGTTTAACCGTAAGATTTCGTGCTAAGTAATAGGTGGATAAATATTTTGCTTTCAATAAAACCGGTTTTCTTAAACAAAAATCGGTTTTATTAGGTTCTATTAAAAACCGGTTTTTTCACCGGTTTCTTCAAACCGGTTTACATCTCTAGCCGCAGCTTAAAGGTGTCAATGGATCAATTCTGGTGTTCTGCCTATGGTATAGAGAAAGGTGTCGTCAGCAAAAAGGGCAAGTTCTATACCTTTGACACGCGGCATGTCATTGGTGTAGAGTGAACAAGACTGGGCCCAACACCGACCCTTGAAGCATCCCGGCTCGAACGGGATGCGTTGTCGAACACACGCCCTCGACGCGATAGCGAAAAGTCCGATTACTCAGGAAGTCTCGTATTATGCATACGAGACGGTCGGGCACTCCGTACCCGTATAACTTGTATACGAGCCCGTTGTGCCAGACTTTATCAAAGGCCTTTGCTACATCTAGGAAGAGTGCTCCGGTGTTTAGTCGGCGACGGTCTTTGGTCAGAATGTGATCCGTGATGCAGTGCACTTGGTGGATACATGAATGTTTGGCTCTGAATCCAAATTGTTCTGGGATGGAGAGCAGGGATCAGGGCACGTGACCGGGGGAACGGGATCGCGAAGTGACTCTAAAGCTTTCCTTTCAACCTCTTCGTTTACCTTGCGGAGGTATTCGGGGTTGACCGGAAGCAGACTAGGAGAGCATTGATACTCTAGTCTGTCAGCCAGGAATTCGGTTTTCTCTTCGTCCAGCATTGCTGGCGTACCTATCGGGCGATGATGCCCCGAAACACCGCTGTATTTGTATGCTCTTGTGGGAATACATTCCTGCTCTCTGATTGGTTGACATATCCACTCAGATCAATCAGAGAGCTGATGTACGGAAGCTGGCGCGGGGCCTGGTTTTTGTCGAGTGTCGGGGCAACCCCCATGCCTCGGACATAATCTCGACCAGCAAAGGCTGGTCGGTGGTGAGGATGGCCAAAGGCCATCGCTAACTCTGACCGCGGTAGCGGCACTGGCGGGTGTACAGCGTTACACGCGGTGTGTAACGCGTGGACGACATCGTCTTCTCAGCGGCGGAAGTGCGGTCGGGTCCTGCTCCCCAGTAGCCGCCGTAGCTCTCGTGAGAGCGGGCGCCCGTCAGGAGGACGGGCGTGAAGGGGTGCGATGTTCTGCAGGTGTGGATGTGGCCCGTTGTCGGCCCTGTCGTACATGCGACGGGCCGACCGGACCACAAACTCCTCGATGGATTCCATTCTAAGATCACGATTTACGGTGGTAGAGCCTCGCAGCAGCCTCGGCTGTTGCACGAATGGGCAGGCTCGTCCGGGTAAGTACCACGACCTCACAGATCGGCGTAAAGTCGAAGTATGACAAATACTTTCGCGTTTCGTCTGGTGAGTGAGGTAGCCGGAGCCCAATTTCCAAAAAGGTTGTCAACGCATTTGCAAACCCTCTGGTGTAGCAGATGTCTATGGGCGGCGGTATTCACTTAACATCAGGTGAACCGTCTGCTCGTTTGGAAACTTTTCACATAAAAAAAAAAAAAAAAAAAAGCTATTACGTCTCCCGGCCCCCACGATCACTCGAAGGGCGAGGTTTTGCTGCGCCTGGAGCCTGCACCTTTGCGAGGCGGAGACCAGACCATACCACGCCGGAGCGGCGTAGGTCAAGCGCGAATGGACGTACATCTTGTAGACGCCGATCTTGGTCTTGATAGGAAGCCTGGATGCCAGGATAGGGAACAGCATGGCTCGAGCTGCCCTGGCTTGTTGGACGGCGTGTCCGACCTGGGGAGCCATGCACAGCTAGCGGTCTATCCGGCATCCAAGGAAATACCTTATGACGTTCTGGTTGGTAATCGCCTGAC